GAATGCGGGTCTCTTGTCCGATGTATAATTTGCAAGTCTCTCCTCCCATTCGATGAGTTGTCTTTTTACTCTCTTGCTGGTAGGTGCCCGGCAGGTGGTGCTGGTGTTGGGCACGGTCAGGGCTCAGGCGCCCGCCCATCAGCTCCCTGGTGGCGGCGGGCACGCTGCTTTTGTCGCGAGCGCAGGCCTCCTCTGCCCACGGAGATGGGTGTGTTCTGCTGGGTGGGACTCTCCCTCCTGCCCTGACGGTCCCAACGGTGACCATCAGCTTCACCCGAAACGAAGGCCCAGCCCGTTGCTTGTGTGATCTGTTTCCGCCAAAGCCTGTGGGGCCTTCCTCGTTCTGGGGTGTCATCCCGCTGGGTCGCTGGCCAGGCCCTGGTCCTCCGTTGCTTCTCTGTCACGTGCCTGGCAAACGCTCGGCGGTCCCCCCCCCACCCCTACCCCCGCATCGCTGGGGTGCCATCTGTACGGGCCGTGCTCCCGTTAAATGTGAATCTCGCTTCCACCGACGTAATCTGGGACAAGCTTAGCGCACTCGAATTTCACTGGGACCGACAGTGGCTGCTTCCTCTGGGTCCCTGTCGCCTCCGCAGAGCGATCGCTGCAGGATTTAGCGCACTGCGCCGCTCTCAGGAGGAGGGAGAGTGCGGTGGGGAAGGAAGGACACATCCCAGGGTGGGGCCCTGTGCGGAGGGCGGGCGGGTGTGTTCCTGGGAACCGGCTGGGAATGTGCTTTTTGCACATTTAGATAAAGGGACAGAGGCTGTCTGCTCCTCTCCTGTGCCATTCTGGCTTGTCACCCATTTCCACATGCCAGGTTCTTCCGACAGCATGTCAGCGCCTCGGGCATTGCTGGGAAGGTTCTAGGTAGCGTGGCCAGGCCCTCGTGCTGGGCACAGAGTCCACGACGTGCCTGGTGTGACTCACTCACACACAGTGGGCCTGGTTCGCACCGTGCCCGCTCAGGCATCCCCTCTGTTTTCCATGTGTCTCGTCGCCGTTTCTGCAGCCTGTGAGCCTGTTAATCATTGGGCGGTGGTAATGATTAATCAGGTTCCTCGAATTCCTGGTGCCCGGCGAGGGCACAGGAGCCGTTTGGCATTTTTTTGTGGATGTTGAAATGTTCCTTTAAACACTAGGCCAGCACATTAAGCTACAAGGCTTCTAAGTCTTAAGCCTAACGTCTGAGACGCACCCGGAGAAGCGTCAGGACTGGAACACGGCCGTGGTGAGAGCGGCAGGAAAGTGCTTCGGTGCGAGCCGTCCTGCCTGCCACGCACACGTCCTCCCGCACAGACACCCGCCTCGGCCCCCCATCCGCCGGCGAGGTCTCCCGGGCCAGCGTGGCCAAGCAGAGGCCAGCGGTTTCTACGAGACGGCACTGCCGAGCTGCGAGGTGACAATCCCACAGGGTTTACAGGACAGGAAACTAGGGCGGGCGACAGAGCCACAGGGGCAGAGGGAGCGCTAACGGCTGTGACCTTTACCTGACCTGCGAGCAAAATGCGGGATCTGAGTGTGAACGTCCGTCCGTGTCCTGCGTCCCGAGGCATCTGTCCTTCTCCCGGGTGTCAGGTAGCAGGCGCAGAGCAGTGCTCCACAGCTGGGACAGTGCCGAGCGGTTATTGAACATTTTTAAAAAACTATATATTTTATTGATTTTTTACAGAGAGGAAGGGAGAGGGATAGAGAGTTAGAAACATCGATGAGAGAGAAACATCGAACAGCTGCCTCCTGCACACTCCCTACTGGGAATGTTCACGCAACCAAGGTAAATGACATTTACCAGAATCGATGGGACCCTTCAGTCCGCAGGCCGATGCTCTATCCACTGAGCCAAACCGATCAGGGCTTAACATTTAATTTCAAAAAAGCCTTTGGGGTCCCAGGAAGCTCCCGTGGGGAGACAGAGCGGGCAGAGGTGGTGCTGCCCATGGAGCCGGCCCTGGGGGCTCTCTCCGTCTTCTGGTCTAGGGGTGCGTATTTTTCCGCCCGGGGCCATGTGGGTATTTATAACATCATCCCGGCCATACCCAGTACCACCTTACTCATTCGCCTGCTCTATGTGGTCAAACATCTCATTCACTCACCCCCGATGCCGTGGCAGGGCCAGACCGAATGAGGCCCGCGGGCCGGACGCTCCCCACCCCTGGTCTCTTCCAACCAGAGGATGAAACTGCCTTCCTTTCTTCAAAGCTCCTCACTTCCTTTACCGCCGAGCCTTCCCAGCTTCTCTCTCTGCGCTGCCTGCCTGAGAACCGTGCCCGCCTCTGCGCAGGGCCTGTGGTGACGCCTGTGTGCGGTCCCGAGCTCGGGCCGTGGAACAGGCCTCTCCCCGCGGATAGAGGTGTTAGTCGGTGTTAATCGGCGTCACCTCTGCCCCATCCCTGCTGAGGCGGGACCTGCCTCGCTGTTAGGCTTGGATCCCCGCCCTCTGCCCCCCTCGAATGCTTTGTTTTTCAATCCCCGCCACGTGATGGTCACCCTGCCGGTGTCTGACCGCCTTCCCGAGGTGGACGCTGACTTCTGCTCCGGGCGCCCTCTCGCTCTGTTGTCTTTGGAAGGCGAGCCAGGGTGCGTCTGGGTGAGTCGCAGGCAGACCTTCGCCTGGTTCTGGTGGCGCAGGCACTGCTGGGCGCCTCTGTGCCAGGCGCGGCGCAGCGCCAGGAGCCCAACGCCCGCTGCCTCGCGGGGATTGTCCTGGACGTGAGCTGACACAATTCGCAAAACATTCCCGCCCCCGGGAACGCAGCGCATGGCCCAGTAGAGATGGACGTGGACCCGGGCCAATCGGGGCGCTCCCAGCCTGGAGCTGCGTGGGAACCAGCGGAGGCTGCCCCGGCCTCCTTGGCTGCAGCCCATGGGCCTGATCTTCCCAACAGCAGATGCCTCCGTGTGAACGGTGACCCCTTGATGTCAAGTACGTCCCTGTGTTCACCTTCCCTGTGCTTAGGGGACAGAGAGCGGGAATCGGTCTGTCTCTCTTTCCTTCTCTCTCTCTCTCTCTCTCCCTTTCCCTTTTTTGCTTTGTTTTGTTAATCCTCACCCGAGGACATTTTTCCATTGATTTTTAGGGAGAATGGAAGAGAGAGGGAAAGACAGAGAGAAACATCGATGTGAGGGAGACACGTTGATTGGTTGCCTCCTGCACAAGCCCCGACCAGGGCCTGGGCCAGGGAGGAGCCTGCAACTGAGGTACGTGCCCTTGACCGGGATCGAACCCGGGACCCTTGAGTCCGCAGGCCGACGCTCTGCCCACTGAGCCGCACCGGCCAGGCCAGGGCTGTTTCCTTTGTTTAATGCTCTGTAGTTCTGCATGCCCTGCTTGGTGGTTCTCAGAGGAGCTCTTTGGTGGGTCAGTGTTGGGTCACTAAGACCCACGGCAGCACTTCTGAGGTCCACACTGCGTTCCGGAGGTGGCGGCTCAGGAAAGCAGGCGGGGAGCCCTGGGCCTCGGTCACGGCAGGAGTGCCGGGGCAGAACGCCCACCTTTGCCGGGA